GGCTTTCAGAGGGTGCGGCTGCAGAGGCTCCTCGGTCACGCTGTGCCTGCTGCGCTGTTCCCAGCAGCCCTGCAGAGCTCCAGCCCTCTCGCCTGCTGCTCTACCTGCAGGGCGCTTTCTCACCCTACACTTTCGCCAACAGACCGGTTTTCTGTCGCTGCAAACGAACACTTCCACGCCCGCGCTGGGCGAGGACCTGTGTCCTGTGGGCGCTGGGGAGCCCGTCCGGTGCAGTTACCGACCGGCAGTATTATTGAGCAGCTGGAGAATGTTGCTGTGATGATTTGTCTTCAGTACTATTTTAACGTTCTCGGTCAACTTTAATTAAAACCGGTACACAACCTGCACAGTAGCACTTTCAAAGGTGATCAGATCAGTTTGAAAAGGTTCTTTCTGACCACAGACAGAACTGACTGAAAGATCTAGTTAACTGCTGGGGCTGGGATCTGTCTCTCTTCTGGGTTGTACCAGATTGTAATTGTCCATCATGTATGCAGTGTGACTGTCAAGGTTGGGAGGACGTGGGTTACTCTCGGGGCAACATTACGTTTTTTCAGCCCTGTTGGACATCAGTTGTCCAGGTCTGCTGCCACTCAGTGGAGATGTGAGCAGTGGACAGACACGGCTCACTCTTTTTAATGAGCTCACTAACCTGGAAAAAAGTTGCGTATTTTTTCCTCCCATATTCGACATGTGAAATTTAATTTTGCATGACTTCTGGATCTGGAGCTCAGTACATCACATGGGAGCACTGGGGAACGTCCCTCCTCAGTTTCTGGCCCTGTGAATGATGGAGGCTGTTGAAAACTCTCTTACTGAGCAGCTGAAATAGGCTCACACAGCTTAAGATCCCATAGCCTTGTGTGTCTTTAATTAGTAAAGCCTCCTGGGACATAAAGAACTGGTGTTGATACATTAATAACTGTTGCAGTTTTAGATATTGTTTTTGAGATTTAAAAACCCACACTTTTATATTCACATTCACCTGACATGATCAGAACATAACAATAACTCAGTGGAGTAGAAGAAACAGCTAATTCCATGCAGGAAGGAAAAGAAAAGAGACACAATGTTTCACTTTTTCAGGCTCCACAGCCGAAACACTGGGTCTCTTTTCTTTCTTTTCCTTGCAGCGTGGAATAAACCTTTACCTGTTCCTTGGCAGCCTGTGTGAACAGTGGGATAGATGTTCCTCCTGTTGTGATAATGATGCACAAAGGATGTTTGCTTATATGTCAGTCAGTAGGAGAATGTATTAACAAACCAGGACTTTTTAAACATTTTTAACATGGGGACAGAAAAGCCTAAACAAAACATCTCATTACACTGAAAAAGGTTGTTTGATGTAAGACTGGCAACTGGCTCTTCTTTCTGCATTGCTCTCATGTGAAAGTGCTTCTGGTTCTGAAGGCTTTACAAGACTAGACCATCTGCTTTATATCCGTATGGCCTTTCAGGAAATTCACAGTTTTGGTTCTCTCTCATTGTGCTTAAGTGATTAGAATTGTTTTATTGGTTGCAGGAATCGGGAATTGGGGAAATTTTAAGTTTTAATTTTTTAAAGAGAAATCTGTTGCATAAAAGGTGGATTATTTTTAAAGAACATTTCTGCTTTGCTATATTCTAGCCTGAATAACTAGGTCAGGACCTGTCTGAAAATATTCCTCAGTCAATCCTCTGCTTTTGTTTTCTGACTGAGTGGGTCAGACTGTCTCTTCACTTAACTGTTGTTCGTTCTGACTCTTCTGTCCTTGTACAGAGGTCCTGAAGATTTCTTTGTATTCAGTTGAAGATCCAGTCTTGAAAACAAGGTGCTCTTTGTAGTTGGCCCCTTCAGCCAGGTTCAATTTACATAAACAACTCGTGGTGTTTTAACAGAAATGAACCTTCACTCAGTTCTAAATGACAAAGAGACTGGAGCAGGAGGGTGCCACTACAGTACTGTATGTTTTCTCTTTTCATAGGGGGGAGGGAATTATTTTATATGCCTGTATTGTAATGATATTAGTATTGTTTTCTTTAAAAAATGTAATTATAATATTTAACGGACATTTAACTAAGTGTTTGGCAGCTGGAATTACCTCATGATTAAGAAGGATTTGGTAACAAAGCTCTTGTGCGACTCTGAGGGCTGCAATCTGCCGACAGAGCTGGTAACTGTTACTGACAGCTGTGAACTATACCAGCATTCCACATTCTGCTTAAATGCCATTGATTTCTGATTGAATATATATATATATTAGGTATTTTTTCTAAGTAATCTGTGTGTCTTTGTATTACAATTAACATTTTTAATAAAATACAATTAAAATAATTTTTGCAACACTGCTGTGTTGTGAAAAGCTGAGATTTCAATAAGGTTGTGTGGACTTTTGATATCCACTATACGTCTAGGGTACAAAATGCAACAGATGTAACACACTGCCTGGCTGTTAAGTCAGAAATACAGCCCTTACTGATGAGTTGATGATGAATAGACAGAGCTGGGAGGGTCCCTGTCGAACACGCCCACAGTGGGAGGGGCTCCGTGCCAGACACGCCTGCGGTGGGTGTGGTGTTTTCAGACACGCCTACTGTGGGTGTGGCGCTTGGATGCAGTGCACTTGAATAAAGGAGGTTCTGAATCAGGGACTGCTAACAAATACTATTCTTATTGAAAACTGAAAGCAAATTTAAAAATACGCCCCGACCAGGAAACCTGAGTTCCTCCCATGAGGTGGACGGCAAATGGAATGATTCTTAGCTACTGTATCTCCACACTAGGAAAAATGTGCGCATTTAAGACATGTGGGCACATGGATCTAGGATCTGAGGCTTGCAAGCTCAGTTTCACTGATTGGCAGTAAAACTGTGAACACCGATTCAGGTCTGTCTGAACTACAAGATAAATTAGCTCCTCCTGAACACAATGTGCACACTGCTTGCAGTCAAGGGTTAAGAACGTTGTTTGTATTAATACACCTGTTTTCATGCTTCCTTAAACAAAAACCCGTGCCATTCACGAATTACTTAATTGAGCGATATTATTCTCCCCACCCGTTTCCTTCACAAGGATTTAAACTGCAAAAAACAACAACAAGGAGATTAAAATGTCGTTTATGCTTTTCCATTTATTGTAAGTTTTCGAATAAGTGGCCAGGAGCAGCCTGTTTTAGCAGCCCCTGGCCACATTCATACAATATTTACGGCTGTTAATTTAAGAGGGTTTGCGGGCGGTATACCGTGTTTCCTGTGTATTTAGTAACATCAGAAGCTTGTTCTTTTTTCCAGGAAACTACTATGGCATTAACTACCTAATGGCTTAGTCTTGTGTGTTTCTGTCGCAGACTCGCAGTAACAGTTATTTATATATGTGGCAGCAGTAAACGTTAGTAGGAATCCGACCTGTTATCTGGGGTTTATCCTGGGAATAATTTCAGGTTAGTGGTATTTTTCCTCCGCCTTTTGGAAGCACGAAAGTGCAAAAGCGGAGCGATGCTATAACGCACCCAACTGACTTATTCCTTTTGAAAACAAAACGCCAGTCCAAACTGCTAACTAAGCCCTTTTAAATGTCGACCTCTCGAAGTATAAATACAGACCGGGGTTGAGGCAAAGTAATTATACAGTGGTTAAAATTTCAAGGGGGAATTATAATGCGCTCAGCCTAACCAGTGTAGAGCTGTGTCAAATACACGCTATTTAAGTGAAGCCTATACATAACTCACCAACATATCCCGACGTTTCTGGAGTGACGTGCGAGGCTTCTGTAAGAAGAGACCCGGCGCGGTCACTGAATGGCCGCTGTGGACGGACTCCACCCAGGCCGTGAGCTGGCCGAAAGAGACCTCGGCCCTCGCCTAATAACTCCACAGTGTGCCGTCCCCGAGCGTGGGGGCTCTGTTTCCTCTGGTGTCTGTGAAGGGTCTTTATAAAAGTGTCAGCACGGAGCGTGATGTGTACAAAACAGCGCACGTCCTTGAGCATTATACTACAGGGCAGAAAACAGTGATGAAGAGACGCAGGCGCCCTGCTCACTGTACTGCACTGTCACACTTCTCCAGCGCTGGAAACATCAGGGCCCAGTGCGACGCCCTCCCGGTTACCAACAAAACGCCACACCAGGTGTCCCGGTAACAAGACTACACTAATATGTTCAGTTACCACACTACATTAAACTGACGGCCGTTTTGCATTTGGTAAATATGAGAAGAGATCTAGGAGCCCGGAACACGAAGTCTCAGACCCGCCTCATTGCTCCAAACCCAGACGTGTCCCGAGTGCTGTAGCAGAGCTTGCTCGGTAAAGCCCACAGTTCTGATGAAGGAGTTCATCGAAGGATGTGAGTCAACTTTAACCCACTTGAAAAGCCTTCTCATTCGACTTAAGGGTTAGACTGATAATTTTACAGGTGTTTTTTCTTTCCCTATTATCTCTGCATGTCGGTGCTCCGGGAGAGAAATGGAGTAATACGCGATTCCCCCACTAGGTGGCTCTGTTGTCTCACGTTAAAGTCCGGGCTGCTGCCTCGGCCGGAGGTTGATACTGGGCGGTGGAGCCTCTGACGTCTTTGAAAAGATATGCTTCTCATTTTTTGGAAAATCTCTTCCAGATATTCCTACCAGATAGAGATGAATATGGGTAAGCGACCGAGTTTTGAAGCTTGGAATCGCTGTTCTTATATACTAACGTATGCAATGACGTTTTAAACTAAAGGAACAGCAGTGACCTAAACAATACAACCCGCCCGATTCAAAGAAGAGTGTCATGAGGGAAAAACTGCAAACAGATGAATATTCATACGAGCATTGAAAACATTGGCATAAAATTCTGTTTACTTATGAGATAAAAGGGGATTTTTCTTTGCACTCAGATGGTGAGGCACCATACTGACCTCCTTATTGTCACAGGCTGGTGGTAAAAGTCTGTTACAGGCTCATACAGCCTCATGTGGTGCTGACCAGTGTTTTATTGCTGACATTCTGATGTGTTGACTTGCCCTGTGGGCTCAGGACTCATGGGCAGGTATTGGTACTTCAAGTATTTATCCTTTTAAAACAAGAAACTCAAAACCTCGAAAGGCTTGATGCAGTAAAACGAGTGGCGTAAGAACTTAGACACTTGTAGGAAAACCTCCAACAACAAAAGACTGGAGGGGGATTTTGACTTTATTGGCCAGAAACTGGGCCAGAGGAAGAAAGCAGTTCCAGGGTAACGAGTAACAAGCCACTGAAGTGTTGAACAATGAGGCGACAAGGCGCTGAAGATTTCCCTTGGTAACCCTTTCAAAAGCTACAGAGGGGTTTCAGAAAAGAAGAATGATGAGAGCATAAACATGTTGTTTATTCAGTTCCTTGACATTTCAAAGATGAAAAAAAGCCCAAAACAGAGCTCAAAAATAAAGTAAAACACAACCCCCGCACAGAGCTGCAGCAGAAGCCCCAGTCAGTGAGGCTTGGATCATGCCAGCAGCCGGGGCAGGGCAGTGGGCAGCCGGAGCTGCAGCTCTGGCCAGCTGCCTACAGCGGAGCAATCCGCTGCTCACCTGGAGGGGCCTCCTCGCCCTTCACAGCCAAGTGGTCAGCCTGTGAGTCCGGCCCAGGGGACAGGGAGACCCCTCCTGCCTGCAGCCGGCAGAGGAGCTGCTGATGCACCTCACTTGCTCTGATAATATGGGGTTTTATTCACCCTCGGAGACACCATGAAGCACGGTGTGAAAGAGAGGGGCTCGTGTTTGCGTTCTGTTTACCAGTTCAACTTTCTGCTCTCTCCCGGAGAAGCACGTCTCTGGCAGTGTGGAGAACGACAGCAGCCCTGTGCTCATAGAAGGAGCACAAAGACCGGCGAAGGGAGGCAGAACCGCTCCAGCGCAGTAAACCCCATCTGTAATCCGCACTGCAAACTCGGTTCACATCCTAAACACTTCAGTGTCTGACTGCACAGCACACGGCTCTTTCTCTTTGTGTGCGATGCAGCTGCAATCCAAAATGAAGAAGGAAACTGAAACTTTTAGTCAACCAATAACACAGCCTTCCCCAATAATCTCTCAAAACACAACTGTAACAGATATGTTGTGTGATCTCTAGGCTCTAATTTCAATAATGATTTTCATGCTCTAGTTATTAGTAGCTAACATAGGCTCATTTTTTAAAAGAGCCTGCTAACACCACCAACATTCAGACATCCAGATCATATAAATACTGGAGTGTTTAAAACATTTCAATGTTTTTGTTTTCTTCGGGGGGGCAAATGTGTTTTCTCAAGTGCAGTGCCAAGCATGCAGAAATATGTAATAAGTTGTTTTATTTTAAAATTAGCAACCATTTATTCTGTGCCAAGAGAAATTAAGATACAAAAAGGTCTGAAAAAACATTCCCTTTGATCTCTGTCAGAAGTGTCACAGCATGTCTGCGGAGGTTGCTTGTGCGTTAGTGATATATCGCCTCCATATGTCCGGCGATATAGAAATGGGAGTATATTTAGAAAACATATTGGTTATTATGTCTTTGAAGGCAACATCTGTTCCTCCAATGGTGGTTCACAAAATCAACTCTGCGTGTTATCTAAAGATATTAATAATGTGTGATCTGCCCCGTTGCCGTACTGTGCAGAATACTGTTTATTAAACAATAAGTGTAACTGTCGTTAAATAATGTCATCCGTCTCCAGTTACCTCTTTATCCCCAGAGGGTCCGGGAGCTGGACTCCATCCTGGCGGACACTGGGTGCAAGGTGCACGCGAGTCCACAGGGGGGCGCACACGCGCACGTGCAGGAGACACTGTACGGGTGCCGATCGGCCCACACAGCAGAAGCAGGGCTCTGGACTGCGGTAGGAGACTGCAGCCCCCAAAACAGACCTGTGCAAATGTGGGGTGACCATGCGACCTCTCCACAGAGAGAGTGCGATGTGAATCGGCAGCACCGCCTGCGTCACTCTTAATATAATCACACACATCCAATGTCATTACTAAGCTACACTGTACTTGGCCTTGAGCTCCGCTATGACACCACAATGCAGTGCATCAGCACTGAGAAGTGTTCAGGTAAAATGTGGAGCTGAGAGTGCTGGAGATGACAGGTTCACATTGTGCAGAGAATTCAAGACAATTTGGATAATCTTCCCACAGAAATCGAAGCGCCAATGAAAAAGCCCATCTGACCCACAGCTCCAGTCTCGGCTTCTCCTCTTTTGCTGCAGCGTGATGCCATATTGGGCAGAAATGTCATAAAGTGTTGAAAGATTTTGTGTCGTCAAAAAAAACCAAGAGTTTTTAAATCTTCACACACATTACATGCAGAAAAAGTTATAAAATGCTCATAAACAAAGTTCATTGCTCATGGCCTTTCACCTCGTCTACCTAACGGAGGATTCAAGATATTTCAACTCTGTAAAGACCTTGCTGTGTGGAATTTATGGGCGAGATCTAGAACTCAAGCAGTTTGATGGATTCGGGATGAATTCGATACCTCCTGTCCCTGGTGCTTCCTGTGTTGCAGACTCCCTCTTCCCTGCCCAGCTCCGCCTCTGACGCTGGGAAGCTGTGCCAGATGTTGGCATCCTTTCCCAGTTGTGCCCGTAACCGGACATGAAGGGGAACACGAGCAGAGAGCGACCGGGATGAATACGAGGTTTACTGATCATGAACCATGAAGAGACGGAAAGTCAAGGGATGTTTCTTTACATTTCGCCAAGTTACATTGAAAACTTTGTCAACTCCTGCATACTGCCTCATCTTTTATATCTAAAGAGCACAAGAGGTACTGTGTCTGAATTGTCCAGTATCAGCTGTGTTTTAATCACTTATACCTGGGGTAAAACATGAAAACTTTCTTTTAGAATCATTTACTCACGTGCTGCTGTTTAAGCTCTTTTTAATCTCTGAACATCTTAAACATTTTCCTGGGTGCATGAACTGTCAACTGAAAAAAAAACTCACAGATGGGGACACATGAGTCTCTAAAGCAGTTAGCAGAAAGCCTTTGGAATAAAGTCACAAAAGCTTTAAGCTTAAAGACATCCAGATTGGTGAGGGGTTTAAAGGATATATTTCTGGCATCTCAAAATCCTGACTCAACATTATATTTGCTTCAGTATCATTTCTATGTTTTCCTTGATCATTTTGTGCTTTTCTGGATTTAATGGGTTTTGGAAAGTGATGCAGACGTTTCTTCCAACCTCTCCGGTCCCACAGTAATATTGGGAACAGCTCACAGCACAAGTACTGACACCAATAGCTGTGGTAATGGATTTTGAATGAAATACTTTCTCGTGAGTTATTAAAATTGAATCATAGCCCTGCGGACATCTTTCTCCCCACATCCTGCTTGATTTTAAAGTTGTTTTCTGGATAGGCAGATCACTCGGAGTAATGGAGATCATCCTGAGAAAGTCTTCAGAGAGTGATATACCTTCAGACAACCTGCACACTGGCACCACTGCAGAGCTGCCAGCCTTCAGGCAAACTGTATACCTGTATAGGATTTTATTTTTGAAATATCTTTCAAGTACCTGGAAGGATTGGAGATACAGCAACAGGGATATTGTGATACTTCGGTGTAATGTTTTAAGACAGTAGAATGGACTTTTCTGTTTACCAGCTCTACACAGTGAAAAACAGCACAGTAATAGCACAGACGGGATGTATTTCTGGAAACGATTGATCTGAACTGCTTGTCTGGTTTAAAACAACAACGTCGTTTTAACCGCGGTCTTCGGAAGAAGAGCGCTCCTCTCCTTGGGGACATTGACGAGCGTGGCTGTTGGTCACTTATTGGGGGATCTGTTTCCCAAATAATCATGATAAACAGTACCGGCGTCTCCAAAGGCAAGCATCGCTCTCATGTGCACATTTTGTCCTGCGTATGTCCTCTTTATGGTGATTGACAGATGTGTCAGGGCAGAGCCGGGGCGTCTGAGGAGCCCTGGAGGCTTGTGGGTATTTCTGTGATGTTGTGAAGACTCTGTCCTCCAGCCTGTGACCTGGCCAGCGCTGGGGTTTTAGCTGCTAACCTGAACCACAACTGTTCAATAACTAGACAACAGTTATTGTCTTGACCAGAGAACTTTCTGGTCAGTAAACAGTCTTGCATTTACTGGCAAACGTGTATAGAAATTTCAGAAAAAGCTTTTCCACAGGCCAGATGCATAGTTTTTGAGGAAAATTAAGTCCCTCAGGGCAGATTTGTCCCACAGGTCCTGAACGGAGTTAATGAGATATTCGGCTCTGGCATTCCTGCTACAGTTTTTAACTACTCGGAAAAGGAAAAACAGTCGAAGCCGCTCCTGAACGCAGGAGCCGGAGGAGTGACAGTTCAGGCCAGCAGTGGTGAGTTATTAGTGCCGAGTCAGACCCGGGCCTCCACTCCGAGAGAGGTCACGGGGCTCCTGACACTGCCTCGCAGAGAGGGCCTGCGATTGTCATTACCTGAGCTCTCCCCCCTCCAAGACCGCCTCACAGGGACCAGGGGGATGCTTTCTCATCCAGGGGGCTGAGGACAAGGCCTGCAGCGTAACTGCCCAAACGGGCCGAGCAAGAGCTGTGTGAAAGAAGTAGCCATGATGCACGTCTCTTGGCTGTTCCAATCTGGCAAAGGAGCACTGAATTCCTTAGGTAGTTAATAAGATGACAAAAACGTCCTTTTATGCAAAAGGCGCAATTCCCTGTCCACTTTGCAGTGTTCTGAGCTCTCAGGAGCCCTGGTCTTCCCATCTTCAGCGGGTGCTGTCTGCAGGGCGCCTGTGTCACATGAGGACGAGCAGCTGGAGAGAAGCCATGAGACACACCCCAGACTCTGAGGACATCAGGCCAGCAGGACTGCATCAAAGGAAATACAGGCGATAAACTGGGAAGAAAAAGGATGAGCCTGCAGTGTGGCAGGACAAATGTTTTTCTTGATAAAAGACAGAGATCAAAGCTAATGGATGAGTGCAAACATTTTTCACAGAACGGGACAGGAGTGAAAACACTGCACTTTAAATGAAAGCTAATATTTTTGAGATATGATCAAAATGTATTAAGGCAACTGTTACCTATTTCTTAAAAACAGGCCATCCAGATTTAAGGGAAAGAAATATGGGCTTTAAATGTAATCTTCCTTCTTGAGAAATGTCTTAGCCATGGGAAAAAGGAAGGACAATACAAGTTGTGACTGTGAAGAATGTTTGATTCTTATGTTAAATGAATAAATGGTGCTAAAGGGCATAAAACTCACGACTGCAAATATTGTGGTTGGAGACATGAGGAACGGAGCTGTTGTGGGATAAAAGAAGTACAGTTTATCATTGCCAATTTCATTTATTTTTATTATTCGCACTACAAAAGTCCAAAGCTGTTTCTAAGAAACCACTAATCCATATCCTCATCTTTCAAATAAGCATTCTGTGCTGAACATCATCTCAAAACAGAAATTTGAACGTGCCCAAAGCTTTATTTTTTAAAAAATAATCCCGGGCAAGGGGGAATCGCGAACGCTGACCCGCGTCTGTCCCCGGAGACTCAGTCGGCCCAGGGTTCACTGAACCCTGCAGGCCTGGGCTCCTTAGCGAATAATTGCCTGGGAGTGATGCAGGAGTTGGTCTGCTTGTCCAGCAGGGCCCAGCTGTACCGACCCGATAGCTTCTGCAGCACTGGCATCCAAAGGCCCTGAATTGAAGGAGAATGTATGTTTGGTGTAGAAATGAGCCATTTATCATTTCTACAAATAACGAGTAACTCATAGTGCCAACAACTCTATTATGAAACGCCCACAGCACGGAAAACATCTAAGAACAAAACCAAAGATGTCTGGGTGCATCGTTTCCTTCATTTACGTGAATCTGTTTGCTCTCTTCAAAAGAGAGCCTGGTCTTCGCTTTGAGGGGAGAGGCTGCACGCACAGCGAGACAGTTCACCGCACAGCACAGAGCAAGGTGATAAAACAGCATGTCTGAAATCAAGACCAATTAATATGAGGAAAACAGTTTTATACAGTTGGAGCACAAATTCACTCCAGGTTTTTTTCTGAAGGAGCAGATACGCCCCGGCTGCAAGTTTTAATCACGAAAAAGAAACTGCTTCTCAGGTGCCTCCAGTAAAGATCATCAGTGTCATCATAGTGCTTGAACCCAAAGCTGTAAACGTATGCTGTACTTTATAAAACATCTGCGCTTCCTTAAAAAAAAAAAGGATTCCTTTCTTAAATATAAAAACAGCAGTAGATTACAGTCAATAGCTCTGCGGGTAATTTAGACTGTGCAGGTGTGAGTTTTGCTGTGTTACAGCTCCGACGGGACTAATAAGTAAGCGGTCTGATTTTACATTCTCACGAACTGCCGGTCACTACTTGCCAATAGGACCTTTTTTGTTTTTCCAAGACGCGATGATAGTGGGAGAGGGGGTGAAATAGGCACATCTGGCGGTCTAAGATTCGTCATGTTCAATGTGTTGTGGATTTCGAAATCCAAGCTGAGCCGAAGAGGCCTTGTCGCCCAGTCGGAGAAGACAGGTCCGCAGGAAGAGCTGTACCAAGCGCTCCTCCCCGAAGCCTGCCGAAAATAAATAAAAACGTTGTTGCGTTTTCAGTTTCCGCATATTAAAAAGATTTCGTTTTCTCGTCGACAGGAAAGTTTTGCCTTTGCCATTATTTTTGTGCACCTTTACCGTTTGTAATATCTCTCATTTCTGTTCATCATACGATATGTCCGGATGCGCTTTTGTCATTTTATGTCTCTCTTGTATCTTGTTGGTTGTGTCCTGATCAGAGACTAAAGATGTCAATGCTTTTCAGCTAACTAGCGCGGCCTATAGCTGTGCGCTGGCTCTGTTCAATTATACTCGCTGCAGTCTGGGACGGAGTGTTGCAGCTCTGGCGTGTTTTTTAAAACATAAATTTAATGATTAAATTGCACGTTTATTACTCTTGTCATTGAGATCATTCCTGGAACGTGTAAAGGTCTGCAGAGATTTCGCTTGTAAAACATCAACACTCTACGAGGAAATTTATGGCATTGAGGTTCTCCCGGTTTTGGAAATCTGTTTGTTTTTAAAGAATTGCAGCACAAAATCATTATCACATACCAAAGAACTGTTGGAACTGGTTGGAGCAGATGAGGTTTCCCCAGGGGAAAGGATAGTTTCGTATTTTGTTTTTATCACACACATTATTACGGCAAGTGAACAAAACACGCACAATGAACAAAATCCCCTCTTTTCTACTGTTTGCCAACCTAACTGTTCTTCTGGGGGGGGGTCTCTGTATGAAATGTTGTTTTTCTTCTCTGGCCGTGCGGGCTAATGAAAACAAGGGAAAACATTTCCATATGAAGGTCTGAACCTTCAGTCTGGGAGGCTGACAGGAGCGCGCACACCCGCGAACGCGCGTCTGGTCCTCTCTGCGGACTGTCCGTCCCTCCGGACCGCCTGGTCCTCTCTGCGGACTGTCCGTCCCTCCGGACCGCAGACGCGCTCCGCTGGTCGGGGGGCCGGGTTTCTGCACACTGCGGCCTTCAGAGAGCTCGCTGCGTCGACCCGTCTTTACTTCGCCCTAGTTTTCATAACGGGCCGGCTCTGCCTGGGCTGACTGCGCTCAGCTGTTGAAATAGTTTGCTGCCTGTTCTTTACTGTTCAAAGGGAAAAGTTAAAAAAAGAGGCATTTCCTGAACACAGAAAGTGGACGTAGGGGACCGGGCGATGTGCAAGTACATCTGCTGTTTAATTATTTGCATTGGAACTTACGGCAAACTTATATTTATATTTTCTCTGAAGGGGCCTCCGAGTGTAAAAACTGAATTAATTTCAATCGGGACCATATGTGAGTGACGACGGCCAGATGCCCGGGGCCTTTCTGTTCGGATAGACGCTGTGCTGGGTTTCCAGCTGGGTTTCGTATCACTGCAGCAGCGTGTTCAAGCGCGGACGGGTCTCATTTCTTTCACCCTCATCGCTTCCGATGGAGTTTGAGTTCTCATTAGTTTAATTCGGCATCGATTTCCGCTTCTTCTAATGATTACAAGCAGGCGCACCGTTGGATTCACTGTTTTACATGCGGCCCACGACGCCGTGGATAAATGAGTAGGCTCCTTCTCAATTGGATGTGTTGACATGAAAATGATTTTACTTTGCATATTCGCGTCCCTCCTGCTGAACCAAATGTTCGACGGTGCTGGTTTTGGTCACAGGATGGCGCTCCTGTTCCATCTGACCGGTGAGCTTTCTCCCATTGTTGAGGCAAAACTGCCTAAAAATATTTGAAATTTGTAAAGCACGTTCTCTGACCTTTGACTAATTACAACAGTAAGACAGCCAACATGTTTGTATCCATCAAAAACTGTAGTGGATTCAGTTCAAGAAAGTACAAATGTTTTTTTTTTTAAACTTCACTTTTCAGTTTTCTTCCCATACTGCTCAAAATCTAAAACCCATAATGGCCCACTGGGACTGGAAAGTTGTGCCAGTAAAAGCGCCAGTGAGCGCTGAACCTGGGCTTCAGAGAGGAGGAAGATGAGTGAGCAGTGACCTAGACTGCAGAGCCACGATGGACACTGTCCACCACTCATCCCCCAGATACACTGGAGTTCTTACTGAATATCACACAATTATCGATTGAAGAGCAAAAATAAGATTGTTTTAGTAAATTGTTACCTTTAAAAAAAGGTTTAAAAAATGTTGAATAAATGAGGATATACAAGGTCTTCTGTCCCCCCATCTTGTTATTGGTTTAAAACAGCCCAGCCCTCCCTGAACATGCTCCCTGTCTTGTTGGCTTGCTCTCTTCCTGCTTGGTCACAGCAGTGCCAGACAGCTGCAGGCATGTTTACAGGGGCCTGTATTCCAGTGTGGTGTTCCTCAGTGTTGTGCTGAAACTCAAGAACAGAAACTCAGATCAGCCACACCGTGAAGGCAGGTACCTTTGACCAGTCTGGAGCTAAAGTACAACAGATCTCATGGAAATAATCACACATGTATTGCTATTATTTATTCTGGGCTGCAGGCAAAAGTTTCTG